CTGTTACGTCCTGTGTACAACATGAAATCATGAGTCCTGAAGTTTTTCAGTGGTAATAAACTAGATAATAATTATTTTAAATCCTTCCTATGTGACAGCAAGGTTCTAAGCAGGTTCTATGGTATGAATCCCCTCCATCCCTAGCACATATCAGTGTGTTGAAATTTAATTGCCAATGTGATAGTATTAAGAGATGAGTCATTTAAGATGTGATTAGCTCATGAGGTCTCTTTCCTTATGGATGGTATTAGTCCCTTCTGAAAGAGTGGAAAGAGTTGGATAGGCTCTCTTCAACTTCTCTGTTCATGTTCCTTGTAAAGACAATATTCACCCCTCCATAGGCTGCAGCAACACGGTGCCATCTTTGAAGTATAGAGCAGATCTCTCCAGATGCTGAACCTGCTAGCACTTTGATCTTTGACTACCGCTTTTCAGAAATGGAAGAAACAAATTTCTAGAGGTCAGTGTTGTGGCATAGTGGATAAAGTTGCCACTTGAGATGCCAACATCCCATATGGGCTCCAGTTTGTGTCTCAGCTGCTCCACTTCCAATCCAGCTCTCTATTGGCCTAGGAAAGCAGCAAATGATAACCCAAGTGTTTGAGATCCTACATTCATGTGGGAATCCTAGGAGAAACTCCAGGTAATGTTATAACCATAGGTTGAATTCAGGCCAAGGATGGGTTCATCTCCATAGACTTATTTAGGAAATAGATAGTAAATACATAGGAAAATAATAGCTATCATAGGAATTTATTTAAACTCTTGACCTTCATTAAAAGGATATGTTATTGTGGAAGAATATCCTATATATTTGAGTAAAACAAGATAGACAGAATCCTACCTGTAATAAGTCTCAATGAAAAGAGGGCAAGAAATACATAATGATTTTTTCTTGTGAACATATTAAAAAGGATACAATATCATGGGTATTTATTCCATTTCCCAGAGAAGTGTGCAATACAGGTCTTGGGTCTGGTTCTTTGGCGAGTGAGCATATTATGAAATTCTATTACAAACCACAAATTTGGTCATGAATTTAATCTTTAAGAACAAATAGAGAAAGACTGTTGTCTTCTCCCTCAGAGTTTTGAAAGGTTGAGTTTGAGATTGTTAACATATCTATAGGAAGTTGATTTATAAACTTCAGCAAATTTTAAGCTTGAACACTTATATGAAAAACAAAAGCTAACTAGTAGCAGGAGGTTAGTGGTTGATTAGCACTCAACTACACAAGTTGAACTCCTATATCACTGCTTTTTAGAGGAAGTTATTTGACTAATTTCAAAAAGCTCAAAGCTGAGGTCTGGCTGAGCTCTTATGTAATACAGATTTTTATTCAGTGTGCTACCGTGAGAAGCCTTTCCCAGACAATGTGGAATAATCAGAATGGGAAATAGTGTTGCTATTTGGGATCATTTTCCAAAGGTAATATTAGATGGAAAAGCAAAACTCCATTATTCTTCCACAGAGTTCAACCTTATGAATTTCTGAACTTAAAAAAATCATTAAGTTTCTTCTATTTCTATGCACTTACCAAGTGAAAAGAAAAAAAAAATCCCAGTTTTCTGAGAATATATTAACATATCATTAATGTCATCCAACCAGTACCATCTGAGTACATTATCTGTGTCAGCTACCACTTTAGAATCTTGAAATATATCAGAAAAGATAAAGATGCTGCCTTCATGGTGCTTACCATGTAAACTAGGCTAATGATCATTTTGTAAAATGTAGTTATGAACTGAACTAAGAATATCATAAATAATATGTTTCCTTTTTTTAACTTTTATGTAGTAAATATAATTTTCCAAAGTACAGTTTATGGATTACAATGGCTTTTTCCCCCTCATAACTTCCCACCCACCCGCAACCCTCCCCTTTCCTGCTCCCTCTCCCCTTCCATTCACATCAAGATTCATTTTTAATTTTCTTAATTTACAGAAGATCAATTTAATATATATTAAGTAAAGATTTCATCAGTTTGCACCCACACAGAACATAAAGTGTAAAATACTGTTTCAGTACTAGTTATAGCATCAAATCACAATGTACAGAGCATTAAGGACAGAGATCCTACATGAGGAGTAAGTGCACAGTGACTCCTGTTGTTGACTTAACAAATTGACACTCTTATTTATGGTGTCAGTAATCTCCCTAGGCTCTAGTCATGAGTTTCCAAGGCTATGGAAGCCTTTTGAGTTTGCTGACTTCAATCTTATTTAGGCAAGGTCATAGTCAAAGTGCAAGTTCTCTCCTCCCTTCAGAGAAAGATACCTCCTCCTTTGATGGCCCGTTCTTCCTACTGGGATCTCACTAGCAGAGATTTTTCATTTAGGTGGTTTTTTTTTTTTTTTTTTGTCAGAGTGTCTTGGCGTTCCATGCCTGAAATACTCTCATGGGCTCTTCAGCCAGATCTGAATGCCTTAAGGGCTGATTCTGAGGCTAGAGTGCTGTTTAGGACATCTGCCATTCTATGAGTCTGCTGTATATCCTGCTTCCCATATTGGATCATTCTCTCCCTTTTTTATTCTATCAGTTAGTATTTGCAGGCACTAGTCTTGTTTGTGTGATCCCTTTGACTCTTAGACCTATCAGTGTGATCAATTGTGAACTGAAATTGATCACTTGGACTAGTGAGATGGCATTGGTACATGCCACCTTGATGGGATCGAATTGGAATCCCCTTGCATGTTTCTAACTCTAGCATTTGGGGCAAGTCCGATTGAGCATGTCCCAAATTGTACATCTCTTCCCTCTCTCATTCCCACTCTTATATTTAACAGGGATCACTTTTTAGTTAAATTTCAACACCTAAGAATAAATGTGTTAATTACAGAGTTCAACCAATAGTATTAACTAGAAAAAAAATACTAAAAAGGATAAAGTATTAAATTGTACATAAACAGTCAGGACAAGGGCTGATCAAGTCACTGTTTCTCATAGTGTCCCTTTCACTTCAACAGGTTTCCTTTTTGTGGTTGGTTAGTTGTCACCGATCAGGGAGAACATATGATATTTGTCCCTTTGGGACTGGTTTAATTCACTCAGCATGATATTTTCCAGATTCCTCCATTTTGTTGCAAATGACCGGATTTCATTGTTTTTGACTGCTGTATAGTATTCTATAGAGTACATGTCCCATAATTTCTTTATCCAGTCTACTGTTAATGGGCATTTAGGTTGATTCCATGTATTAGCTATTGTGAATTGATATGTTTTCTAACAAAATAATTGCATAATGACACATAAAACTATTTCTAACTTTATAAGACTAAAACATAATAGACATGTTTAAGCTCATTTTCTTCCTGTTAGTGGTGGGGCATAAGAATTCAGTTTCTAAATATAGTGCTTGAATTCTGCTTCCACACAATGAAAACTTCAAGTTTAAAGAACTATTTGTGATTACAAGTGTAATATCCTCTCTGTGTTTGTCTCTTTGCCTTCTTCTGGCACTCAGTTAATATATTTCTGCCTCTTCTTTACATGGTTAATTATTTTCATTTTCAATATCTATCTCAGGCATCAGTTCTTTCATGAAAATTTCTCAGTCCTCATAGTACTTCATCACAGCACAGTTACTCATAGTTCTAACATTTGTGATTGCCCACATTTAACGTTTTATTGACAGTGCTAAACATAAGATGTGGCACATGGTACATAATCAATAGATATGCTTGGGAGATTGATTTTCATTGACTGACAGAATGATTGACATGTGATATTCAACTTGTCCCACAATTTAAATTCTGTACATCTTTCCAGTCATATCTCTTCAGTAGATTCATACAAAATAAATTGATGACTGCTAACAAATCATTGAACATGACTTTTGTGTACTTATTCTTGCCATTCCTAAAGTACATCCAACAAGACTCTACTGAAAAGTTGAATTTCAAATCTAATTCCAGTTGTTCTGTGAATTTTTATCCAATTCTTTAGATTTATACAGTAATAAATGATGGTATTATTTGCAGACAATTAAAACAATGACAGATTAAATTAAAATGAGGTTGTTTAAAATTTATGTGTATCCTTATGGGAAGGTAATCCTGGCTGTCTGTAGATGCTATTTTTGCAAATAACATGGGTAATAACCCCGAACAGACATTTCTTAATAAATTATTAGATTATTATAGTTAGAAACTACAGACATTTCTTACAAGAAGACATATAGGGCCGGCACTGTGGCTCACTTGGTTAATCCTCCACCTGTGGCGCTGGCATCCCATATGGACACCAGGTTCTAGTCCTGGTTGCTCCTCTTCCAGTCCAGCTCTCTGCTGTGGCCTGGGAGGGCGGTGGAGGATGGCCTAAGTGCTTGGCCCCCCACACCCGCATGGGAGACCAGGAGGAAGCACCTGGCCCCTGGCTTTGGATAGGCACAGTGCCAGCCATAGCAGCCATTTGGGGAGTGAACCAAAGGAAGGAAGACCTTTCTCTCTGTCTTTCTCTCACTGTCTATAACTCTACATGTCAAATAAATTAAAAAAAGAAGACATATAAATAACCAGCAAATATATGAAAAAAATGCTCAAATTATTATTCATCAGAGAAATCCAGATCAAAACTAAAATTAGGTATTACCTCACCACACTTAGAGTGGCCTTTATGACAAAAGCCAAAGAAAACAAGCACTGCCAAGGATGTGGAGAAAAGGGATCTCTCATACTCTATTGGTCAGGTGTAAATTAGTTCAGTCACTATGGAAAACATAATTGAGTTCTCTGAAAAATTCAAAATAGAACTACAATAGATATAACCAGCAATCCCACTGCTGGGCATATATACAAAGTAAATAAAATCAATTATCAGAGACATCTGTCCTCCCATGTTGATTGCAGTACAAATCATATAGCCTAGACGTTGAAACAACATAAGTATTTTGGCTACTGAGGAATGGAAGCAGATAATGTGGTATAGTATAGAATGGAATATTATTTGGTCATAAAAAAGGATGGAATCCTTCAGTTATGTCAACACGGGGTGTGGGGTTTGGAGGGGAGGACTGGAAACAAAGAAGACCCAGAAAGCCAAATATTGCATGACGTATACATGGAATCTGACACAGTTGACCTCGTAGAGATTGAGAATTGAATAGTGGTTACCAAGAGGCTGAGAGAGAGGGAAGTGTTGCTCAATGGGTAGTAAGTAATAGAGAGAAGAAAGAAATTCCGGTATTCTATTGCGTAGTAGAATAATGATACCTAAGGACAACATAGGTGATTTTTTTAGAAGGTTAGAGGAAAGGTTTTTCAGCATTTTCATCATGAAGAGGTGGTAAATATTTTAGGAGATACGTATGTTTACTCTTGTTTGAACATTATACAATGTGCATGAATATCAGAACCTCATATAGCAATACTCCATAAATATGTACAATTTTAAGGTGTCAACTAAAGAAAATATCACATATAAAGTATGTATCTATACAACAATTTTAGGAATGATGATTGATGATGGATTTTTAATCTAGTTGAGGGAGCAAGTCTCTGATTGAGATATGAAATAACAAATAATTTTTATAATATGATTTTAAGTATTTATATATTAACCTAAGACTAGAACTAATGATTTCAGATGAGCCAATTTTGGCATGTGAAATCAAACAGTATCCAATAATAGCACTGCTTAACATTGGTAATGATCATCTTGGCTTTAATTGAAGTTGTATGGCATCACTATTATAGTAATACAGATGACTGTGCCATATATTCACACAACTCAAGAAGTCCCAGGCGTGTGGTTTGTAAGAAATTCAATAAAGCAACTAAAATTAGGTAAAAAATAAAAATTGTTCAATTTGCCAAATCGAAGGAAGAGCTAAGGAAACAAGCCTGTTACTGAGCTCAGTAATCATGGTTTTATGATGAAAAGTTTCCCAGGGGATTTTTTTGTTTCATATAAACTCACCCAAAGACATAACAGATATCAAAAGAAAATAGAGTTTCGAGAAATGAATTTACTTGAATCAGCTTAAGCAATGGTCAGCTATTTGCCTATCACTGTGGGTTTGGGGACAGTATAATTACAATTAGGTAAGCATGAGTCATGCAAGAACTCCTTGCCTGAATCACAGGTAAATAATTGGAAGCCTCCACTGGAGCTGCATGATTGAACTATAAGAGAAAGAACCTTTATCAAAGGAAAAGGGTTTATATCCCCAAAAGGTAGAAATAATGGAAGAAAAAAATAGACATGTGCTGCTACAAGTCAAGGAGCCATGGTCTTTCAATTCTGTGGTCACTCTCTGCAGGGCAGTGTTTGCTTGAGTGGAGGACAGTAGAAGATAGATCACTTAGGAGATTGAACTAGCAAGAGCTAGGGGTCAGGTAACAGCAAAATAGGTCAGAATCAATCCTCCATCCTCAGCACAGGTGGGGAATTGAGTCAGAAATCTACGTGCCCTGATCCGATATGAGTGTCCATATCAGTGTTGTGGGTTATGAATTATTGGAAAAAGCATGTTATAACTGATACTTGGATCCCAACACATTGACGACAGATGATGAACATGGATAATTTTGCTGATTAAGATCCCCTTTGGTGGCTCTCCTTAGTAATTTCATCTGCAGAAGGCTGAGTAACAGACAGGCTTATCCTTTTCTCTAGATCCTATTTAGCCAGCTACATTTAAGAGAGATCCAGCTACTGAAGCATTTGGGGGATATCAAAGTAACAGTGGTCCTGGGCCATAGGCATGCAGTAAAATTTCAGCAAAGGAAACTATTTAATATGAACAAAGAATAGAAAAAAATAAGGCCGTCATAGAGAATAAAGAATACAGATGAGAGGAAAATAGTCATCAGTAGAAGGTGTATTTTTTGTTGTTGTTGTTGACAGGCAGAGTGGACAGTGAGAGAGAGAGACAGAGAGAAAGGTCTTCCTTTAGCATTGGTTCACCCCCCAATGGCCACTGCGGCCGGCACACTGCACTGATCTGAAGCCAGGAACCAGGTGCTTCTCTTGGTCTCCCATGCGGGTGCAGGGCCCAAGGACCTGGGCCATCCTCCACTGCACACCCTGGCCAAAACAGAGAGCTGGACTGGAAGAGGAGCAACCGGGACAGAATCCAGCGCTCTGACTGGGACTAGAACCCGGTGTGCTGGCGCCGCAGGCAGAGGATTAGCCTATTGAGCTGCAGCGCTGGCTGAAGGCATATTTTAAGAATTTTTTTTCTGCCTTGGGCAGGAGAATGAATGTAGTGATAAAGAAGAGTAGAAAGATTCATTCTTTGAAGAATGTCTTAATTTTAAGTTCGTCTTTGTCTATACTCAAGAAAAAGCATTACAGTGCTGAACTCCTTCCCTTTGTTTTCCCATCTAAACGCTAGACCTATATTATTGGGGTCTGACTTGGTGAAGAGTAGCAAAACTATTCAGATAACTTTGGGGCCACATTATTGTGTGTTTTGTGAAAGTGTCACTTTTAATACCTCCTAGAGAATCAATGGAGAAGGGTTTTCAACACTGAAAAAAATATTAGCTGTTTTTCAGTTTTCACCTAAGGCAGATCTACCCATCACATATATACTCATAGAGTTAATGAAATACATATTTGCAAGACACCATATTAATAAGAAAGACTGATTGGAAAAAGCGTCACCTGTATTTGTTAATTTGCTGCAGGCTCACTCACTTCGAAGCTGGCACATATTTCTAATCTTTTTCTTTGGCAGGATAGAAGTGCCCGTGATGGGGAAACCAGCAGCAGTTCTTTTTCTTCATAAAGGAAGGGAAGCTGAAAATCTAAGTAATTACAGTCCCATTTCAATTTTACTCACAGCAGTTAAATTATTTAAATGTCTCTTCTGCAGTCAAAATGAATATATTTCAGTTTACAAATATTTTATTACTATTAAAGCAATTTGGTTTCCATTATCTTAGCTTTACAGTTCTGTGTTATTCAAAATGAGAAACAACCCTCACAAAGTGAGTCCAAATTTTATTGCTGGGGTCAAATAATATTTATTGGTTTGCCCAAGTTCTCAGAATACAGAAACCACAGTGAATTTCAAAAGCTAAGTCAGATTCTCTCTCTGTGTGTTTTGAATGTAGTCAAGCAAGAAACATTATATTTCAGACCCAAAATAAAATCTGTTGAGTGCATTAGAGTTTCTACAACAGGAAATGTAATTCTACTTCATCTTATGTTGGAAGTTAGGGTGTAACAGTTTTCATTGTTTCACGAGCTTGGTGTCTTGGAGCTGCTAGTATTGAAAAGATGCTCTTATAAAAAAGAAACAATTAAGAATTGTTTTCATTTTTATCCAGTTATGTTTTGTGAATAAAATAATTTGAGTAATTAAAATCATTAAATCAAATCTTTTAAAAAATTATCTTTGGAAAATCAGATTTTAATAATTTGAGGTTGAGATAATTTACCCAGAGGATATCAGAGTAAGATTTTATACATGTGGTAGGTCCACAAGTTTCCAGTCCTCATTCTGTCGAATAGGACAAGATATCTTACCTGTCTCCATGAGTTGGAGGAGGCAGCCATTCTTATGACACTCACAGTCTACACAGACTGTCAGAATGAAATGAGCACGCAACTAGATATTGTACTCTCTGTGCATATTGTATAATTTAACTACTGTGTAAACTTAAGCTCAATGGGTCAACTATACAAAGAGATTTTTATTTTTTTCTGTTTGGCATTTTATATTATTTTGCTTGATAAGGTTCTTAAACATCCACATACTGACAAATATAATAAATACACTCTAATTTACAATTATCAATATTTTGTACTTAGTTCTCTCAGATTAGGAATGAATTCTTATTCAAAACGCAAGTAGGAAAAATACCTAAAATTGCCCATTTCAGTAATAATATTTCATGAATATTGAAGTAAGAAATATCCAAATCTACTGTTCTGTGGAAGAAATGAAGACATTGGCAAAAATGGTTAAATTAAAATTTTTCAGAATTCTGCTGTATGTGAATCACATGCCAATAAAGTTGTAAAAAAGGTTATTGTTTCATATAATGAAGGTTAACCATATATAACTTCTCTATTTCTGTCTCTGTGAATAGACCATGTAAGTTTATTACTGTTTTTTTTTTCATTTATACATAATACTGAGTCTCATAAATTTTGAGGAAAAGTGAAAAAGAAGAAACAGCCTGTAAAGTAGATGGACAGATAGTGAGGAGCTGTGTTCATGAGCATGGTGTACAAGTTGGCAGTACTTAAAACATCTCAGCATTTAACAAGGATTTGGAAATGTCTTCTCAAGCTACACTGTGAAAGCTGAGCCTTAATCAAGGCCAGACTCCAATAGAACACAGGCACCAGCTGCTTAAAAGCCTTGGAGTGAGGCAATAGAGTTTTACGCAGGGAATCAGAACTCCAGAGGCATTTGGTATGAGTTCATATCACATCTAAGTCACTTAAAAACTCATGAAACTCATGACTTTAGTTATCTACTCCAGATATCATTTCCTCTTTTGTGATAAACACCAGAAGATACCTCCAATCTCTTGTTTAATACCAAGTGAGATAAGTATGAACTTCCTAACCCAGAAACCTAATATGCATTCCCCACTCACCCATAGCTAATCCAAAGTTAAAGAAAACTAGGATTGCTCAGCAAATTTCTTATTCTACCGACTGTAACATCAGTGAGAGTCCAGTACGCATAATAAGTGTGAATTTCAACATCTCCACTCACATATGCAGGAAATTTAGGCTTACTTGACTAAATTGATTCTAGATCTACATTCAGTGACAGTTACAATTCAGGGCCTCTTCCTTTCTCAGCTTTGCAACTGATTATGGAGAGCTCATATGGTTTGTACGATCTACTTTGTGCCCTGCAGGATCCACTGCTGTTCAGACTAAAGTCATAGTGACACTTCCAAGTTCAATGACTTTCTACTTCTCTGCCGTCCACAGGCCTTGAGGACAATCTGGCTTTTAGGATCTAAACTCCCTTGATACACTGAGAGCCCAGTCCTGGCGGAGGACTGCCCAGTTTCTGGATGAGTTCTCTCCTAGAGTTCTCTTCTTATGCCAGGCTTTTTCTGCTCTATCACCATTCTAGGTTGTCTCATTCACACCTTGTGCCTCTTAAAGATGATTGTTACTCTCTTCCCTTCTTTACTTAAAACTCATCATTTTCTCTATAATAAGAACAGGTTTATTTTATTTTATTTTATTTTATTTTATTTGACAGGTAGAGTTATAGAAAGTGAGAGAGAAACAGAGAGAAAGGTCTTCCTTTTCCGTTGGTTCACCCCCGAAAAGACCGCTACGGCCAACGCGCTGTGCAGATACGAAGTCAGGAGCCAGGTGCTTCCTCCTGGTCTCCCATGCAGGTGCAGTGCCTAAGCACCTGGGCCATCCTCCACTGCCTTCCCGGGCCACAGCACAAAGTTGGGCTGGAAGAGGAGCAACCGGGCCTAGAACCCGGCGCCCATATGGGAAGCGAGCACCTCAGGTGGAGGATTAAGCAAGTGAGCCATGGCGCTGGCCATGTAAGAACAGGCAAAATGCATGAATGAAGTAGGTTGTGAGGCAGCCTCTGCCATTTGTCACCCTTCAGAACTTCCTGAAGCAAGGGAATACATCATGTGACTCAATGTTGGAATTCAGGGATGAGTGGAATGCAAGTGGAATCCCCATTCCATGTACAATTACAAGTGGAATGAAAATTCTCAAAAAATATTATGGGGAAAATCGATCCAGTCTAACTGACTTTCTGGTGGAAATCACTTCTATATTCCCCCTGTAGCTTCCTATTTTTTGATAGAAACATTTGTGCTGAAATTTCATTGGAAGGGGGCCAGAGTTGTGGCGCAGTAGATTAAAGCCCTGGCCTGAAGTGCTGGCAGCCCATATGGGTGCTGGTTTTAGTCCTGGCTGCACCTCTTCTGATCCAGCTCCCTGCTATGGCCTGGAAAAGCAGTGGAAGATGGCCCAATACCTTGGGCCCTTGCACCCACATGGGAGACCTGGAAGAAGCTCCTGGCTCCTGGCTCCTGGAGCAGCTCCTGCTTTTGACGGCATCTAGGGAGTAAACCAATGGAAGGAAGACTTTCCTTTCTCTCTGTCTCTCCCTCTCACTGTCTATAACTCTACCTCTCAAATATATAAATAAAATCTTTAAAAAAAGAGATTTCATTGGAAGTTCAGAATCTTTATGTGAAATCATAACATAGCTGATATGATCCAATGCTTTGTGCATGGTAGATGTTGAATAATAAAATTTTCTTTAATTGATAATTTGATGATAAAATGAACAGTTAATTTTTCAGCCACCTATTTTTCATGTAATATACAAAATAAAAAATCAAATTTACTTGATCATGGTATTAACCTCAACTGCTCAGCTCTGGTTAATTTAGTCAAAGGCACACAAAACCAATAATCAACACTCTTGGCTTCTAGTTATGTCTCTGTCCCTGTATATATGACCTTGAGAAAATTATCACACTGTCCTTGCTTCTGTTTTCTAAAAATTAAAGCAGTGACGATCTTCTCCTCCTCTTCCTCTTCTTCTTCCTCTTCCTCTCCATCTTCCTCTTCTCTTTATATGATTGCTGTGAAGATCCTATAAATTAATGTGAATGTTTGGGCTTAAGTACAAGGTTATAAAATGATGTTATAGTATGTTTTTTAACATTAAGAATAAAGTTTTTTATAGACCAATTTATTTATTTGTTTATTTATTTATTTTTTTTGACAGGCAGAATGGACAGTGAGAGAGAGAGACAGAGAGAAAGGTCTTCCTTTTGCCATTGGTTCACCCTCCAATGGCCGCCGCGGCTGGCGCGCTGCGGCCCACGCACCGCGCTGATCCGATGGCAGGAGCCAGGAGCCAGGTGCTTTTCCTGGTCTCCCATGGGGTGCAGGGCCCAAGCACCTGGGCCATCCTCCACTGCACTCCCTGGCCACAGCAGAGAGCTGGCCTGGAAGAGGGGCAACCGGGACAGAATCCGACGCCCCAACCGGCACTAGAACCCGGTGTGCCGGTGCCGCTAGGCGGAGGATTAGCCTAGTGAGCCGCAGCGCCGGCCTATAGACCAATTTAAATGGTATCTTTTGTGAGAAATACTATTTGTCCTACTGTTTTATACTGATTCTTTTACCAAGTTCTGGAGTAGAGAGATAATGCCAATTTGAAATCGGAACTAATGTTAATGTGCTGGAGTGTTTGGATTATGCACCATGACCTTGTCTGGATTCAGGGAAATTGGTCTCATATTACCACAAAGAATACCACTATTGGAAATCAAAGACCATATCTTCAATGTAGTCTCTCTTATCTTAGATGACAGATAAATAATGCCTGAGATGGATATTTTCTTTCATGAATATTTCAGATATGTGTATGATGGTTAATTTTATGTGTTAAATCAGATGGCATTTTGGATAATTTAATATTTAAATATAAAAAACTCTGAATAAGCAAATTACTCTCTCAAATGTAAGTGGACCTTGTCCAATCAATTGAAAGCCCCAATGGAATAAAAAGAACAGCCTCTCCAAGCAGGAAGATACTCTCCAGCAGATAGCCTTTCATCTTGCAAATGTGCCATCAGTTCTCTTGAAATTCCATCCTATTGGGCCAAACTGCGGATTTTGGACTTCCAGTTTCCATGTAAGCTAATTTCTTACAATAAATATCTTTCTATATACATATACACACCTACTAGTGCTTAAGTTTCTTCTGAAAGGCTGCCTAATAAGCATATATCAGCCTTTTAAGGTATGGCAGAGGGGTCAGTACTATTTATCAATACAAT